TGGGGTGCAGGGGAGATCCTTGGGGGCCGCCTGGTGGATCACTGTGGGGTGCAGGGGGGATCACTGTGAGGTGCAGGGGGTGAACCACTGGAGCGGGGCGCACAACCACAACCCTCACGCCCACCCCCGGGCCCTGCTCAGCCGTGGGCCCTCAGGGCCGGACCCGGCGGGCGGAGCCGCGCCCGCCCCGCCCCGCTCCGTCACTGCCGGTCGGCCCGGCGGGGCCGCTATGGCGTCCGGGGGTCCCGCCCGCGCCGCCGAGGAGCCGCCGCCGCCCGAGCCCCCCGCCGAGCAGAAGCCGCCGCCGCTGCCGCCCGCGCAGGAGGAGTTCTCCTTCCTGCCCCTCGTCCACGACATCATCAAATGGTAACGGCGGGCACGGCCACCGGGACCCCCCCCGCGCCGCCGGGACCGGCCCCCGCCCCGCCGGGCACCGCGTGCTGGCACCGCAGCCCTGCCCCGGCCATCCGCCTCCGACGGTGCTGCTGACACCGGAGTCCTCGGGGGGCTTGGGGGGAGCAGGGCTAAGGGCCCGCCCCCGTTAGTGATGCTTTCCCAGCCACAGCATCCTTAGGGATGCGCCGGACAGGAAACAGGGTTATGAGGTTTCCCCTTTAATAATGCTTTTCATCCTTAGTATCCTCAGGGATGCCCTGAACAGGGAGCAGGGCAATGGGGTCCCCCCCGCAATGATGCTATCCAAACCCCAGCATACCCAAGATGCTCTGGACGAGGAGCAGGGTTAAGGGATTCCCCTTCAAATGATGCTTTCCCACCTCCAGCATCCTCAAATGATGCTTTTCCACCTCCAGCATCCTCAGGCTGCCCTGGATGCGGAGCAAGGCAGTGAGAGCCCCCTTTTAATGATGTTTTTCCACCCTCAGCATCCTCACGGTGCCCCAGGGAGTGGGGCAATGGGATCCCCCTCAAATGATATTCTCCAGCCCTCAGCATCTCCTTATACAGTGCCTTGTATAAGGAGCAGGACAGTGAGGTCCTCCTTTTTATTATGTTCTCCAACATCCTCATGGTTCCCTGGATGGGTAACAGGGCAGTATGGTCACTCCTCTAGTGATGCTCTCCAACCTCCCAGCATCTCCTTTGCCCTTTTTCTTCCATCTGGATTTCCTGTGAAGAGTATCTGAAGGAGCTGGCACAGCCCCAAGTGCATTTCTGCTCAGAGTTGTACCAGTATCTGGGTGGTGTCAGGGTCACCTGAGCAGTGCAGGTGCTCCCATGGCCCAGGTACTGCCCCACCACCAACACCCCAGGGCAGGAGCTTTGTATGACCGTGGGGTCATTGCTCCAGAGAACTGAACTGTTTGGCTGATAACAGCCTCAGAAAGTACAGGCAGTGCGTCAGGAACGCAGCCCATTTCTGGGGAGCTGTAAAAAGGAGGATGTCTTCTGCAGTGAGACAGGTTATGTCGTTCTCTTCCCAGCTCAAGATAAGCACTGTTCAGGTAAAAGGTGATGGTACAAGGGTATTGAGAACCGATGTGTTTCTGGCCCAGGATAACTCCTCCAGAGATGCTTGCCTGAGTTCCCAGGAAGGGAATGGCTCTGTCATGGAAATCCATCCATGCCAGCTCTGTGCCCTCACCTGGGCACACTTCAGGGTGAGGCAGTGGGTGTGGGAAGTATGAGTTCCCTTGTTTCTGGCTGTGGACCTGGCTGCCCTTTCCCTGTGCACATACTGGGGAGCTGAGGCTGGTTTGTGTCCTGCTAATGTTTCACTTGAATCAAGCATATCTGAAAGGTGAGAGAGGTTCATCCTTAATGACTCTGCAGCCTGAGCCATGGGAAGGAAAGAAGGAAGGAAAGACTGACACCCCTGACACACTGGTCCAGAACAGGCACAGAAACACAAACCCTCTGATTTCCCTCAGTTTTCCCGTTGTGCTTGGGGTGGGCAGTCAAGTTGCCCCTGACCTTGATTCTCCCTGATCTGTGCCAGAAGTGAGGCTGAATCCACTGCCAGGTGCTTGTACCTCAGCAAAGCGGGCAGTAGCCGTGGGCTGAGGCCTCCCAGATTCTGATATGTCACCGAGCAGGTCGTAGTGACTCATAGATCACAGTCCCAGGCATATCTTGTGCCCTATCCCACCGAGCCACCCACTCCTGTTACCCGGTTTCCTCGCCCGGCCTCGCACGCGGCACTTCCCGGGCGGCTCGAGCAGACGTAGGTTCTGAACAGGTGCCGCAGATGGGCAGGACCACAGAGGCAAGCGGTGGGATGTTTTGCCTCATGTCCCTGACAGATGGCAAACGTATTGTCCTCTAACACTGCCGCGAGTCGCAGAGCCCAGCCCTGCTGTTCTGACACTGACTCAGCCGTGAAGACACATCTCCAAGGTGACTCTGTGCTCGGGAGCGAGGATGTGTCGCGTAAATTTGCTTACGTTCAAGGACGTGCTCTTTCCTGTTGGTTGGGCCTGGAGAAAGTTTTCCTAAACAGGGCTTGCTGGTGTGTTCAGCCTCATACAGTCCAATGGCATCGCTGCTGAGGTCCCAGTGTGTGGCTCCACCGGTGGTGGGTTGTGCTGGTGTAGTGAAGAACACTTGTGCCCTAAGGCAGGTCTTATGCCCAGTCTGTCAGCACAGACTGTCATTGGATGTTGCACTGGATCCTATATTAGTGCAGGCAGCTCAGTCTCTTCCCACACCTTGCTCCCACCTTGCTCCCATGTCCTCAAACAGGGAGTTGCTTCAGTAGCTTGATCCAACAGAAAAACCACCCATGAGGAGAAAAAGCCACCAAGCCTGAAATATTTATCCCCTTGGATCTACCAGCCAACGGACAGCTGTCAGTTCTCTGCATGGGGAAGGGAATGAGACCTGGGCAGCCCTGAAGCAGGGAGGACATCTCTGTCAAAGCCAGACTGCAGCTCTGGTGGATTAAAGGCAGTGTCACCCCATTGTTCTCCAGATGTGCCATGGGGTTGGTTATGTGTGTGCCTGTATTTTTCCACTGCTGACCTGACCATGAGTGCCTGTATAATGGGGAGACATTATAGTACCAGCTGCAGTTTTATTTAGAAGGGAATAATGAATATTTTGTTCCAATAGGCCTTTGAAACAAGCAGTGACCATCTGGTTAAAAGTTTTGCTTTCAGCCGTGTCACGATTCCCCAAAGTTATAATCGAGTACCTCTCTGCTCTGGTCATGCCAAACAGATTTATTTTTAGGTCTGTCTATTGAACAGGCTCCCAGTTTTTCAAAGACCATTAGAATCCCGCTCTCCCTATTAACAGGCGCCCTGGAAGCAGGAACTGGCTTTTGCCTGGAATTGGTAAAGCTTCTCGCTGGTGCTAACAAAGCTGAGTCAGATACTAATGAGGGTTCAAGGGCAGACACTGCCTCAGACAACACTGAGCCTTGAAAAGCACAGAGCTGGCTGCAGAACCAATTCTGCTGCTCTTAAAAAAAATAAAAAACACAACCCAAAAAACCCCCACCGCTTCTCTTTTATTAGTTATACATCCCCAGAGAGTCCTTTTAAAGCTCCAAAGTACAATTTTCTCTGCCTTTGGACACTCTCTGATGCTTTGGGGAACAGTTTCTATTTTCTGCTGTCAAGCTGTTTGACTGCATTGATTTTTTTTTGTATTACAGCCGCAACAGGTCATGGGTGAGACTGAGATCGTTTTTCTAGGTGCCTACACAGAACACACATACAGTCTTACCTTCCCTAAAGAGAGGTACTGGAGTTCAGAGGGAGAATTTAGCCTGCCTCAGGGTAGTGTTTGAAATCTGCAGACCAGCCCCTAACCCAGTTGATGCATCCTGAGGTGACTGGGTTGTGTGCTGGAAATTAGCAGGAAAACAGTTTGCCCCTAAGTTACCCAGTCTGTATGTCCATGTCCATTTTATTGGGATAGGTGGATCAGGTGTGTGTAGCTAGATACCAAGAGCAAGTTTCCCAGTGAAATCCAGTTTAAACCCTGGTTGTGTGGGAAATTAGTGTTTCCAGTAGGAGAATTCAACAATGTCTCACTTTTCTCTCCTGTGCAGCATGGACAAGGACAGCCAGGATGTTCACCAGGTACTGAATGAGCTCAAGAACAAGTTCCAGGAGATGAGGAAGCTGATCAGCTCCATGCCTGGCATTGGTGTGAGCCCAGAGCAGCAGCAGCAACAGCTGCAGAACCTGCGGGAGCAGGTCCGGACCAAAAACGAGCTGCTACAGAAGTACAAGAGCCTTTGCATGTTCGAAATCCCCAAGGAGTAGGATGGGCACAGCTCCAGTCCTGGGGTCTGAGGTACCTCCTCTCCAGGCTGAACAGGGTGGCAGGAGTTTACTTTTCTTTCCTTGTGGTTTTCTGGTTACACTGCTGTGGAATTGTGCCTGTGTGGGCCGTTGAACCACAGGTGAGTGACACTGAACAGAACACCGAGTGCCTCACCTGGGGTGATTGCAGCGGCTCGTTCCCTTTGATCTGCTGCAGGAGTGTGCATTTATGTATCCATCTCCTGTTTCCTCTCGGGGGTGGGGTTCTTCTTTTTTATGTTCAAACCAGAAGGAGACATTATGTTTTCTCCTCACTAAGGGTCAAAGTACCTGCTGGTTAATTTCAAGAAGAGAATGGAGGCATTTTCTGCACTATTTTTTACTGAAAAAATGGCCAAACATCAAAAGGGAACATAAGAAGGAAGCGTGAGCTGCTTGGCCCTGCTCCTGGAAAGTGACTCTGGAACACTTTCCATTTTCTGTGTGTTGAAAGAGGAGTGATTACTTTCAATTACTTCTGTATCTCTCTTTCTAAACAATTGATGGTTGTGTTTGAGATGAGTCAAGTAAAGATTCATGAATTCCCAACTGCCCCTCTTGTGTGTTCACTGGGTGGATGTGGGCTGAGCAGGGGCAGGATGTTGGCAGCACAGAGGGCATGTGTAGCCTGGGCCCAGCTCCAATGTCTTTTCCTGTGAAAACAAAGGAAGGACAAGAGTCAAAACAAAGGACATAAATGATAAGAGCTTTTGGTTATTCCATACTAAAGTCAGGCCTCACAGGACAGGTCTGTTCCACACCCAAAGTGCTCCAGGGGCTTCCCACAACCACAAGCGTTTGAGCAGCTTGAACAGATAGTTCTGGTCGTTGGGAGCTGGGGTGGTTGCACCCCACCTGTAGTTTAGAGATTTACTCTGTTCCCACTGGAATACTGTACTAGTACTTTCCTTGGGAAGGTGCCAGTGTGTAAACTCTGAGTAAAGCAGAACACCACGATAAACAAATCACAATGTACACATTATTTATTGCTGAAATTGCCTTTCCACCAACCAATAGCCTGTCCCAGCTCAATAAATTCCTGTGTATCATGCTTGGACGATGTTTTCCATTCTTCTGCCAGTTGCTGTTCCTGTGAAATCAGGCATTCACAGAGCTGGAAGAAACAACCTGTTGCCAAAGAACTGTCTGGCACTCGGTGCAGGAACAAGTTAACTCTGTCAACCTGAATCCAAGTTTCAAGCGAAACTGAGGCGGTTTGCTTTGCAGTCTCACTCCCTCACCTTAGTTTTATGACTTCAGTATGACTTTCCTGCCATTTATATGTATTAAACACAGATTTGTGCTGCTGTGTGAGGGGGGAACGGGGGCTGAAAATGAACTGGAACAGAAACTGGAGCCGGGAAGAGCTGTTCCCCTTTCCCTTTCACTTCTAGCAATGATTACTGCGACTTGTTATTGGGAAGAGATTAAAAACCATCAGATTCAGAGGTGACCTTTTGAGCAAAGTACTTCCTTTACTCATATTGCAAAATAAAAACAATATCCCAGCCGGGGTGCCAATGAATCACTCTGTGTTGACATCATTAAATGTGGTTAGTTAATCGGGAAAGAGCACGAAGCACAATCAGCTCTTTGTAACGAGGTGATGTCAGTTTGCTGGGTGACTGCTGGGAATGACATGCCAGTGCCCGGCATGTCGTGGGGCTGGCAGGATCAGCACTGGTGGAGTGAGGAAAGAGTCCTGGCTCAGTGACCCGTCGGAGTGAGTAACTCCCTGCATGGCCCCTCTTACCCTGTGTGGCAAGAGACCGGCGGCTTGCAGAGGCGGGAACCTTTGCACTGGGAGTCTGGAGAAAATGGGGCAATAAAGGGATTGAGTGAGAGGCTGGTTTTGGTACCTCAGGTCTTTTGTTTGACATGTTTTGCTATGGGACAGGGCGAGGAAGCAAAGGCAAAACCCACAAGTGTTGTTTTTAAAAAGATTTTATTAATTTGTAGAAAAAATAAAACATCAAGTTTCACCCACGGTAGAAACACTTGAAGATTTTTTTTTTTTGTTCATGTCAGTGACATACAATACCTACATAAAGTGCCTATTTTATTTTGAAAAACCCTTCCCGCTCCCCCCCACCCTCCCCAAATCTTGCAAATCAAACAAGACAAATGTAAACAAGAGTCAGTTTTTTGGTCCATCAGGGCTGTAACTCTGCAATGTCTTTGCAACACCTTAGGAGTGTCTTCTGCATGTGGTTTGCAGACACAGACGAACACATGACACAGAGCCAGAGTCCGTGCACAGCTTCTCAAGTTGAAAAAAAAACAACAAAAACCAACCCCAAAGCCCCAGGCAGGTGCTGGCAGGCCCTGCCCTCCCTTCTGAGTGCAGTGCCCTAGGCTGGGTGGTTTGGGAGGGAAAGAAACATCAAGGTCTGTGCCCTCCACATGCATCCTCCCACCTGGCCAACAGCAGTTCACCCTTCCCCTGTCTCTCTGCTCAGAGGAGGAGGCTGTTCCCAGTGACAGCCCCCTCCTGCCCTCCAAAGCCTCCCCCTTCGCATCCCTCACTCCCAAAATGCACTCCTGGGGGAGAGAGGTGATGAAAGCGGGAGGAGGGAGGCTGGGGGAGAGGCAACCTCCTCTCTGCCTGGGTGGGCGCCTGCCCACCCTCCTGCCTGCCCAAAGTCAATTCGGAAACGAGCATCTTTCCCCTCTTCTTTCCTTCTTCCCTTCCTTCCTTCCTGTCGGGAGCAGAGGTTCCTAGCTGATCACACAACGATCCTTCTCCTTGCTGTGCCCGCCGCCGATGGCTTTCTCCCGGATGTACATGAGGTCGCTGTGGACGCTGGGTCGCCGGGCGAAGGGGGCCACGATGCCGTACGCCTCCTCCGTGCCACCCCGGCCCCCCTCTTTCAGCAGCTTTTTGCCTTTCAGAGCCTTCTTATGCAGGATGTCGCAGTACTGGACCGAGACCTTGCGGTGCAGGTCGGGGCTCATCTCGCTGGGCAGCTTGGCCATGGCGAAGAGCGCCTGGAACATCTGGTCCAGGCTGCTGTTCCTCTTGGCTGAGATCTCGAAGTAGGCGCATTTTTTGGGGTCCCCTCCCACCAGCTGCTCGATCTCCCTGGGTTGCACCTCCCGGTAAAAGTCCCGGTCGCCTTTGTTGCCGCAGATGACCAGGGGCACCTCTATGTTCTCCTTGGTTTTGTTCTTCAGGCACGACTTGGTCTCCAGGATTTGCTGCTTCAGACGCTGAACCTCCTCGAAGGAGTCACGGTTGTCCAGGCTGAACACGAGGATGAACACGTCTCCTGGGGACAAAAAGGGAACATGAGATGGCTGCAGGGATGGGGACACACAGAGACCCACTGCCTAAGCCATACAGAGACTCTGGGAAGGAAGGACAGGGCAGCACGTGGGTCCTCTCGTCCATCAAGAAGAGCTCCCCATCCACTGCACACACAAAATCCCATCTCCCTTTCCCCAGGACTAGAAAAACCTCCCGAAACTAGGCGAGAACACCCGGAATCAGGCAGAGGGACCCCCTGACAAGTACCTGTGAGGATGGAGAGGCGGCGCATGGCTGGGAAGGGGTGGTTGCCTGACGTGTCGAGGATGTCGAGCTGGTAGACCTCGCCGCGGATGCTGTAGAACTTGCGGTGGAAGTCCTCGATGGTGGGGGTGTACTGCTCCTCGAAGCGGCCGGTGAGGAAGCGCGAGACGATGGCTGTCTTGCCCACCTTGGAGGAGCCCAGGATGACCATGCGGTAGCAGTTCTTGGCGGGGATGCTCAGCTCAGCCTCGCTGGGACACATCTTCTTGATCATCGCTGCCAGTTTCATTGAAGCCGGCGGAAAGTGCAGCTTGCGCCGAGGAGAAGGAGGAAGAGGAGGAGGAAGGTGCTGCCTGCTTGGCTGCTCAGCCCCTCTCTCCTCGCAGGAAAGGTCGGTGTGAGCTCTGCACGGCCGCCGCCGCGTTATATGGAGGAGGCAGCGCCCGCCCCTCGGCGCGTCACGGCCCGGGGCGGCGGCGGCTGAGTCAGCGCCCGGCTCCGCGCCCGCCGCCCCCCGCCGCTGCCCGGCCGCGCTCCGGGGCTGCGCACACCGGTCCCGTTCGCACCCCCGGGGCTCGGCTGCCTGGTCCCGTTCGCAGCCCCGTTGGGACTCTCGGTGCTGCACAGCCCCGGCCCCATTCGCGTCCCGCTCGGGGCTCCCGGTGCTTGGCAGCCCGGTCCCGTTCGCACTCCCGGTGCTTGGCAGCCCGGTCCCGTTCGCACTCCCGGTGCCTGGCAGCCCCACTCACACTCTCAGTGCTTCCACTCGGAGCCCGGCTGGGACTCCCGGCGCTGCTCAACCCGGCCCCGTTTCCATCCCGGTTCGCGCTCCCGGTGTTTGGCAGCCCCGTTTGCACTCCCGGTGTGGCGCAGCCCGGTCTGAGCTCCCGGTCCCGTTCGCAAACCAACCCCTTTGCATCTCAGGCGGGCCCCCGGTGCTTTTTATCCGCCCCGTTCGCAGCCCGGTGCGGGCTCCCATCGACCCGCAGCCGGCTCGGGGCTCCCGGGGCTCCGGGAGTGGAGTGACCGCGAGACGCACGGACCCGGGACAGGGGGTGCAGGAGGTCCCACCCTATTTCCCGCAGTGGTTTTGCTCCAGTTTACACTTGCCCCGTGCAAGCGCCCGTGAGACCGGAGAAAAGACCCCCCCCGTTCGGTGCGAGCTCCGGTGCGCGGGACCGGGAGCAGAGGGAAGTCTCGGTCCGGGCGCTGCAGCGCGGGCTGGGGGCTGCGCGGTGCCCCCTTGGCGGAGGTTCTTGGCACGGCGACTTTCCCTTAATCCCGGTGCCGATCCCGGTGCCGGGGCGCCGAGCGGTGCCGCTGCAGCGCCGGTTCCTCCCGCTAGGGGGAAGGAGAGAGCCCGGCCGGCGGCGCGTGCAGGGCAGGTACGGGGGGAATGGGAATGGGAATGGGAATGTTGCCGTACTGGGAGAGCTGGGAATGGTCAGCCCGGAGGGGAGAAGGCTCCAGGGACACCTTAGAGCCCCTTCCAGTCCCTAAAGAGGCTCCGAGAGAGCTGGAGAGGGTCTTTGGACGTGGAGTGACAGGAAAAGGGGGAATGGCTTCACACTGACAGGGCAGGGGTAGATGGGATATTGGGAAGAAATTCTCTGGGAGGGTAGTGAGACCCTGGCACAGGTTGCTCAGAGAAGCTGTGGCAGCGTCGAAGCCCAGTGTTTAAGACCAGGTTGGATGAGTCTTGGAGCAACCTGGTCTAGTGGAAGGTGTCCCTGCCCATTGCAGGGGGGTGGAACAAGATGAGCTTTCAGATCCCTTCCAATCCAGACCATTATGTGACTCCATGATCTATTAGAAGAAACCCCAAAACTTAGCAAAAGGTGATGCTTTAATAAGGTTTGGGGTAGCAGAATCCTCACCTACAGCACTGAAAGGGACCTCAGTGACAGCTAGAACACACAAACTGGTGCAGAGTGGTGCATTTCATCAGCTCCACTTGGGACGTGGCTGGTGCTGAGCTTTTCACCTCCCTCCCCTTCGCCCCTGACTGTGGTGTCACACTTGGATATTAATTTAA